AATATATTTTGATGGTGGGATCGAGGTGTGTTTCAATCTGTATGGAGGCTAGTAGTAAACAACATTTCTAAATAATCCGGTCCCGACCATTTTTGATACAGGTCAAATTTTGCAGTCTGGTACGGGGGGCGGTTACTAATGATGAGTGCAGTGCGAATGAGAACCGCTGATTCAAGCCCCCGCACACGGTGCATTTTTCGTGCCGTGCGCCGAAAGTTTCACCGGTGTGCAGGCTGGTTTGCCTCGTGTCGCATTCAGCGAAATTCACAGTGGCTCGACTTGATATTCTATATCAGGAGTAGATAAAGATAATCGCCTATTATCTACTTCCTGCATACGCTACACTATATATTAAGTAACATCGGCCCAATAATTCCAATATCACGGTGTCTGGTGCTTCAGATTACTCTGTAATAAAGCGTTCGCGACGAGGATCAATCGCGCAGTCCCAAGAGATTCGGGATTGTTTCACGCACGTGGTCCAAAATAATTGGCATCTGAGAAGCCGGTATTTCAACAAATACCGAATGTCTCGTCTATTTAAAGACGCGTTTCACACGAACGTTTTTTTCGTTGCCCGGAGCACGCTGGTATGAGACTCGGGCTCAAATTTGGCTCGAGCCCGAGCGTTCACGGACGGGCGGGTTTTCCGGTGGGCCGTGCCGACGTTTGCATGAACAATTTGGTGTTCCATCGGAGAGAAAGTCCTGGACCCAGGCCCGAGCCAAATTTTAGCACTAGCTAAATCGGTAGAGCGGTAGATTGCCGGTGAGTGTTCGAACGTGTACTTCAACGAAATAAAGTACAAACAGTGTATAAAATTCAAAAAAATTTCATCAGGATGCTATTTTCAAGATTTGATAATGAACTCGGACGGGATGTAAACACTGGATCGTACATAACGCCATCTGCGCGACAGACCAGTATTCGCTTGCGCGTCTTCGTGCGTAGGTTGAACGCTTCCGGACTCAAACCCGCCCGAGCCAAATATAGCCTGAGCCAAATTTAGCCCATTTAGCTCGACCCAAACCATTACCGTGTGAACGCGTAATAGATTCCGTATTTTTTGGACCGCGCATTTTGCCTCGGGTGAACGCTAAATACCGAATTTCTTGCTAGTTCCGTGTTGAACGCGGGTACTTAATGTTACTACTATTC